TAATTGCACAGAAGAGTTCAAGTATTATTCCAGAGAAACATATATGAAAACATAATTGTAGTCCACTCAATCTGATTCCTGTATTACTGTGTAGTCAGTCCCCCAAACCACAACTATTTGGTTTAGTTCTATCTAAGGATGCAATTTTTACCTATTTACCTGGAGATAAATCTCCCTGTACTGGACGATATTGCATCTGACTAGAAATGCATAGCATTTTAGAGTACAGCCGCAATCCTGGGTCTGCTTACCTGAAAAGAGGCTTCACTGGAGATGGAAGGACTTATTTCTAAGCAAAGGGACACAGTAAACCTATACATGGAAACATAAAGTTCCAAACCACGGCTATATTATTGTGGTTATGTTCTTGTTGCTTTTGTTATTATTGGTTACTTGAAAGGTGTGGGCTATAGGAACAATTAAGTCCTTGGCTCTCTGTTCTCCTCAACCACCCCATACAACTGGAGAAATAAGCAGGTAGCACAATCCTATACAACTTTATTCAGAAATAATAGTCCCAAAGAATGCATATGGGATTTTTTTTTAGACCACTGAAACACGGCTGCTTTCCAAGGGGAAGGAAACATTTGAGAAACCACTAAGAACTTTATCAAGTGAAATGCAAGTTAAAATCCTGGCTGCATCATTAAAAAAATAATCCATAAAATGAGCTTGAATATCTTCCCCCCCCCTTCCAATGCATTTAACTGAACAACTTTTTAAGGCCCATTCTGCATTACAAAGCACACAATAGTCTAAAACACTCAGTCAAAGTCTGCCTTCCCCAATTTGGTGCCCTAACTAAAACACTTAGAATTTACATCCAGTAGGACTTAAGAGGTAAGTGGCAATTCTAAAAGTAGCAGTCACAAGGTCTGGGAAGGCTAGTCTTCATTTGACCTGAATAGTCAATATGCAATATCTTGCTTCTATCAGACATGTATAAAGTGTTAAGATTATTTACATCTAGGCTAAAAATCTCAACTAGCAGCAAGCCCCAGTTACCTTAATGGAGGGACCATTCTGAATAGACACTTATGGAATTGCAGTTTTAGGGTCTTTTTAATCTGCATTGCTGAAACCCTTAGTCGATAGATAGGATAGGCTTAATGAAATTCTATCCCCTAACTTCCCAACTTTAGCCACGCCAAATGCTGGAACGGGTGATGATATCATTATGGAAATGCTGTGACTTTCATACCTGTAAGTATTCCAACTATTGTACAGGATACAAGTTCAATAATCACAGCATTTATACGCTGATATCACCACCTGTGTGTTGTCATTTTGGCGTCACTGCAGTTTGCTGTAGGCTTCAATGTTCCTGCAGCTGAAATAAATAACACCACAAGGCTTCAACATAAATTAAAATCTCCACTCCAATCAGGAGAATGTATTAATTGTTGAAGGCAGGGAAGGGAACTGTTACCTTTTAAAAGAAATTATAACTATGTAATAAAGGTAAAAAAATCTCTTGAGTATAGCTCACTCCTGGTGACTGAAGGGACACATCCATATAGGGTTTTTTTTGGCAATTCTCTTCCAGATTTTAAAAAAAAATTCTGTCTAGCCCAAGATCTCCTGATGGTCTCCCATCCAAATACTAACCCACCACATTCTGCTTAGCTTTTTCAAGATCAGTCAAGGTCACTGAGGAAATGCTACATAGTCACCAATACTGCTCAATTTAAAGGAATCTGTTTATGCAGTGGCCTAAACACAGCCTTCCCCAACCTGATGCCATCCAGAAAGATTGAAATTGTAACCGTCCTGGTGGCAACAGCTATGTAAAAAGTCACCTGTAGGCACAGGACTAAAACTGAATTGTGAAGTCCTATGCATGCTTACTGAGAAAATAAACCCAGGTAAGTTTGCATCGGATGGCCATTTTTTCTCACAATTCTGTGCATATTTGTAACACTCTAGAAGCTGACAAAAGGGCCTTTCAGTAAAGAGATTTAGAAACCCTGGTGAGTAATTCTGTGACAAGATTTATTGTCATATAAAGCTGCCATACTGTAAAAAGGTGGATTTCGTAGACTTCATACCAGGAGGGGGGCAACCTGGTGCTCTCCTGATATTTTGGCTGCAGTTGCCTTCTGGCTATCGTAGACTTCAAAAGAGCAAGCCCAAGGGCAACTGCAGCCAAAATACCAGGAGAGCACCAGGTTGACTCCTTCTCTCCCTGCTATGCATAAAACCCCCACTAAACGTACCTGCACGCTCAGATCAGGTAGAATCCCCAAGAACTAATCTCAGTCCCTTAACAACAACAATAAAAAAAATCAGCCACCCTCCTTAGGAATTAAAGCCAGGAGCGTTTGAAAAAAAAAAAAAAGGGGGGGGGGTTTTTTTTTAAGGTTTTTTTTTTTCAAAC